GGGAGAGATGGGTCAGTTAGGTGTGTGCTATAAGCTGGTGCTACTTCAGGCATACCTTGAACGATTCACTGACAATAGGATAAAAGGATTATCTGAAAACGGTTTGTTTGAATCAAGCAGATGAAAATTACTTTGCTCTAGTCCTCCTTTCTTCCTTACTTTATCTCGCCTTCATATCGGCTTGTAACTTCTCCTCCAACACTGTATGCGCGATGTTTAAGGTAGATGCATATCCGCAATGAATTATTCTCTTTTTCGCTACTTAATGAGGTCCATTGACTGGCACTACCAGCGTCTGTAAGGTGGATCTTTGCAACAACCATAGGTACAATACCAATTTCAGTGAAAGACCTGAAAATCAATAATTTAGCTACTGTAAGCCAGTTTCTTTATTTTGGGTATTGAACAATTGAACTCTGCTCCAAATCAGCACCAGAACCCAGAATGCGAACAAACATTGATGATGAATTTTGTTCTCAGTGGGCGGGGGTACAGACCTCTAATGCTTACTGAAAATTTTTTATGATGAAGGACAGTATGTGATCAGGACTATTGACTGAAAAGAACAATTACCTATTCATCTCCAAAGGAAACATCACAGATTAGTTTTATCTCACCGTGTATCCTGAATGAAGAATAAGAGTTGAGGAAGACACTGCAGATTGCTTCAGACTTTTACTATCAAGCGATTTCTATATGCTAATAAATATCTTTAGTCATTTACAAACAGTGACTTTTAGTTATACAATAGAAAATATGCAATATATACTTCCTCGCTTCTGGATGGTATTAATGCCTGTGGCCTTGGAGTGTCGTACCACATCCTTGCAAATATACATGATATAAGGTTCTGATGAGCTGTTCTTCTTTGGCTTCTGAGTGTGTTAGTGTAGCAGGCTCCATAGGCCTTGCTATAAGTTTTGTTTCAGTGGATTAGCGATGTAAATGACAGTTCGGAAACGTGCAGATGCTCAAATACCTCGGAGGCGCGGTCTGTTTAGATGAGTTACCTAGACAACTAGAAGGAAGGTACCAGTGCACTATTTTGCGAAATCTGGTTTTGGAAGAATCATTAGTTATTTGACATACTCCAAGGTACGAAAACCTGATAGTGTTTAAACCTCCGTTATTTGAGTAAATGAGATAATGAGAAAATTACAGAGATAGATTAATAGTGATAGCTTATTCTTTAATTTATATACAGTCATGCTTACATATTTCCTGACATTTTGATTTTAGATGCTACCCAAACCAATGCGAAAATAACGCTAAATGCATTCGCTCAGGAGATAGTTTCAGATGCAAATGCCCACGACTATTTTTTGGAAAAACCTGTTCATATGGTAATATGCTTTGTTTAATAATTCTGCAAATGGAAAATGTTTTCTGTCTTCAATGGGACAAAATATTTTAATCCTTCATGTGCATGAACTGAAAGTTGAAGTTATGAAAATTGCGATTAACGCTTAAGCAAAAGGTTACGAATCCATATAGGAAAAGATCCACAAGAAATAACTGTTTGTGTAAGGACAGTTCAGAAAGGAAATGAAAAGGCTCTTTGCGGTTACGAATACTGCATGTGAGAGACATATTATTTTGCCATTGAATTTTTAAAATGCTGTGTCACCATTAATAATAAATTAAACATCTTTTGATGTCATTTATCCATAAGACACAATATTTCATGAAATAGATATATGCAGTAGCCATTTTTTACATCTTCATCGTTGTTGTTCTCAATGTTTTCATCTTTATCCTTATCATCGCCATCCTCAAAATTTTCGTCCTCAGTATTGTAGTCATCTTCATCCGCGTCATCGTCATCCTCACCATCCTTATTATTTTCATATTTCTCCTTATTTTTGCCATCCTCTATCTCACCACTCTCTTTCACACTATGTTAATCCTCAAATTTTTCATCCTCACTATCCCCACCATCATCCTCTTCATCCATATCCTCATCATCTTTACCATCCTAATCCAAATAAAGTCTCCAGACAAACAAATCCCTTGTGTGCATAATTCAATTTGTCGACTTAAGGGCGTAAAGTTGTATCTTCAACCGTTTACTTGAATCAAATACAAGCATAAAGGGCTAAAACAGATGTGGGCGTTTTCTCAACAACATGAATCACGTATTTCGTAACAACTGAGATGAGTGAATTTTCTATCACATGGTTCTCACATATTTCGTTTTAGGAGGAATACCTCATTCTTGCGAAGAATTAATGCGCGATGGTCGCAAAGACTCGATTTCGACTATGATAGACCTTGATTTTGGAGGGCCTCTGAAAGCTGAAGAAGTGATATGCAAGCGCGATGGCTCAACGGGAAATGTGATGACGAGTGTAAATCACATTTTCGCTGAGGAAGCGATCGGCGATTTTCACAGCCGGATGCAAGTCACGTACTTCTATCCCAACGACAAGTACTTCTTGTCTGAATTGACCAGAAGATTCGAATCCTGCAGCCAGCGCGTGTCTGTTCTGCTGAGTACAGAATCTTTGGCTACCACGGGTAATGTCGGCGGCAGTTGCACAGATTGTAGCGATGTGAAAATGAAAAATAATATTTCAGCAAAGAACGATTCCATATTTTGGTGGCTAGGTCCCCATGCTCTGAGACATCCTGCCGGACTGACAGTTGTGCCTGGTTCTCTGAGCCATTTTAAAAGCATGATCCGTGAAACCAACAGGTCTTTATACAGCAGTCGTACGATTGCACACTAAATTTTAACGTTCATGGTTTAGCTCTGCTCCAGTGAAGTCCGGTTTGCTGATGTCTGAGCTTTACGCCAACCTCACTGATCGAGTGCACTTACCTGTCAAGGAAATCGACATCCAATACAACGACAGATATCTGATGAGATTACCCATCACTCTCGGCCCTTTATATTGCTGGAATAATCGTAAGAACGATCATTGTTATTATTATTGCTGTTTGTTTACCGCATTCAGCACACTTTACAGCAGGTGATGAAATACTAGATGATATTTTTTGCTAAATCATTGAAACAAACCGGCTCTTGAAGCACCATTGGTGAAGATTACGGTATTGCTTCGCCAATAAAATG